AAGCGACAGTTAAGCTTTTTGCCTGGAGTTGAGTCTTCTTACTTTATTTTGTGATTTGTTTCACATTCCTGGTGGAGGAGGTGCTTATCCCTGTCCTGGAAGAGTATTTGGGACAAATATTGTTTGATGTTTTTCAAAAAGAGTGCCTCATATATATTAGAGGCATCTCTAGCATCTATCAAAAACTGAGATATAGGTGTTGATAGTTTTAACCATTTAAGAATTTAAAGATGCCCGACCTTCTAGGGAGCATGTGCTAAATTGTTCTGTAAGCACCACATAAGGTGCTGGTGTTCTATAAATATTGCTAAATAAACACATCACAATGGGTACTGATTTTTTTGTCCTAGTTTATACCTGATTGAACTTGCTGAGGTCTGGATGCTTGGAATGGTGAGGAAATAACAAAACCTCTTTTATATTTTTCACCAAAATTGTCAAAAGAAAAAAAAAAAAAAGATGAAATGAAAGGAACATAAAAGGGCCTCGTCTTGTAATGATACGCTAAGATGACTCGAATCAATAGAATGGTAAATAAGTAGTGTGAGCAGGCTGACACATACCCCATTTGTATGCTGTGCTCACTCAGATAACAATCATGGCTTCTGCAACTTTCAGAGACTAAAAGAGACAATAAAGATTTATAATGGGCTAGAGGTCATTCATTAGACATCAAAGGTGTCTAATGACTTATTTGGCAAGTTTAAACCTCTGTGACGTGGATGAAAAGTGACCTACAGTGGTGATCCCCCTGGAGCACAAAACACCCCTGCTGCCTATGTTGGTGCTATATTGGTGAGACATGACACACTTAAACATCACAGCTATGTGTCGTAATCTTGAGGTTTACTACTTTGAGATTGCTATCCTTTGGACCATTTACTGCAGTCTATATGTTCAGTGTGGATCACCATAAATAATGAAACATGGGGAATCTTTGTTGTGGCATTATTGTGAATCTAAGCATTTTTTTTTTAGGGCTGTTACTGATTAAAATTTTCGTGTTCGATTAATCAAACATTTTTTAATTGATTAATTATAACGCACATACAGAATTCTTGTCTAAGCAACAACGGTAATGGGGACAGGGCCACACAAAGAAATTTAAAAAAAGGTAAATTTAAACAAAAAAAACAAAAAACGTTTAGGTTTTATTGAAAGGGGAGGGTTACAAAAATGGAAAGGTGAATGTCCCCTGGAAGCTGCTCTCTTCCGTGTGTATATGGGCTGGTTGGTTATTAAATAATCCACTCCATTTTTTTGTCATTTGAAATCCTTTTTTATGCGCTGGCTATACACGCTTGAAAAGCAACAGGACTGAATTTTAAAAAGCATTTTAGAACAATTTTATATAACATAGTAACAGTAAGCAACATGGCAACAATACCTTTGTGCTTCTTCTGACAACCTATTTGATACGGCTGATGCGTTCTAAGTACTTTCTCTCTGTGTACTTTTAAATCATGGCGCCTTTGTGGCTCAATCTGACAGTTTCTGTCATGGATTGAAGGGTTAAAGGGCCTTCCATATTTACTCACTAAATTACTCCAAATGAAAGGGAACTGGTTTTGTGTTAGATGGGTGCCTGATTCTGCTGGCTGGATACGTCCTTTTTTGGTTTTGCTGTGTTAGAGGACCACTTACCTTGTATGTTGTAGATAGAGGAGTAACATCCAGTATTATACTGATATTTGACTTTCATGTTACTTTTCTGTGCAGAATGTTATTCTCTGTTGGCTCCCTTTTTGGAGGCACCATAGTGGCACTGGGCAATTTTCTTCTATGAGGTTACAGGATGGAAATGCTGCTGTGTGCTTCAGATTTCTTTTTCCCTATTATGTACCATCTTTATTCTAAGTCTTTTCTGTTCTTGTTATCTGGAGTTTTTAAACCTTTCCTGAAGAATGTAATTATAACCAATTTTATTTACTCACCAGTGACAGTTGGCAATTCTTTTTCTCTTGGTTTAATGAAGAGAAGGCCAGCTTTGTCCAGGGAAGATGCCTATCGATTCTCAAACCTTTTAAATCATGGCGCCTTTGTGGCTCCGTTGGCTAACGGAGGGGGGAGGAGTCCGGTGAAGTCACGGACATAGACTTTACCGGACCCCTCCCCCTTCCCTTCGTTAGCCGTCACGGACATAGATGTCACCGGACTCCTCCCCCCTTCCCTTCATTAGCCGACGGAGCCACTTGGGGAAGGGGGGGGAGGAGTCCAGTGACGTTACCAGATCTCCGACGGAACTCCCGGAAGCCGGCGGAGAGGTGAGTACCGATCAAAAACATTTTAAATCGATCAAAAAAAATTAACGATTCAAATCGAGGAATTAATCGTTAATTTCCACAGCCCTATTTTTTTTATGTCAACTATGCGTTTTATTTTTTTTATTACAGGTATTTATATAGCGCCGACAATTTACGCAGCGCTTTAGCGTACATTCACATCAGTCCCTACCCTCATGGAGCTTACAATCGAAGCCCTCGTTCACATCTGAACATTTTGTAGCGCGTTCTACGCTCGACGAATGGTCTACAAAACGCTCAAAAATATAAATCCCATTGTATTCAATGGTCTGGTTCACACCTTGGCGTATTTCCGCCCGTCCCTAACGCGCTACAAAACGGCCCACGCCTGAAAAGGTACATGTACTACTTTGGGCCGTTTTGTTGCGCGTTTCCATTGGGATACAGCCAAGAAGCCTTCAGAAACGCACGTTTGTCGCGTGACTTTTTTACCGCAAATCGCGGTAAAAAAACGCACGACAGACGCGCATATGCAATACGCCTAGGTGTGAACGAGACCTAAGGTGCATGACAGAAACTTATAACTAAGCTGTTTGCATCTAGATGAAAGGTCATTAGCACAGAAGATGGTGCCGTTATCAGTAGTAGCCACAGAGAAACAGATGTGTATGATTTTTATCATTATCAGCACTTAGTGTTTTAATTTAAAGTGAAACTAAACTCAGGAGTTAAACCTTAAAATTGCATTAAAGTACCCTATTAACAAAAATTTGGTTGGCTTCAGTCACTGTTCGGCAAACAAATTTCAACCAGACTACTCAGACAAAAGTAAATTGTGTAATTGAGTTTTGTCAAGCCGGCAGGGCTACCAACTGTTACATTTTAGTCCGATTCCTGTGAATCAGCCAGAATTCTAAAGCTGCCCATACACCTATAGATTATCTGCAGACTTTCTATGGTCAGATGGAAAAAGTGCAACAGGTTCCTCCATCTACGGTAAACTGTCTGGATGGAGGAATCTCCATCCAGGGCCAAGCTTCAGTATCTTACTAGGAGGCCCCGCTGGCTCTCAGAACACCTAAACAATGACTGCATCCAATCAGATTGTTCAGATATTTTGAGAACCAGCGGGGCCGACTAGCAAGATACTGAAGCTTGGCCCAGTGGGAGATTTCTCCATCCACACAGTTTAGCATAGATGGAGGAATCTGTTGCACTTTTTCCATCTGACCATAGAAAACCTGCAGATAATCTATAGGTGTATGGCCAGCTTAACAGTTTACGGCCAACTTAAAGTGACACTAAACTCAGGGTTTAAAACTAAAACTCCATTAAAGTACCATAACTATTAACAAAATGTATCCTATTTGTGTATCACTTGGCTGTAGATCCTCAAATCATCTCTGAATTGGTGCTGACACTGTCCTTCCTTCTGGAGGGTGGCTACTTTTGTTCCCCATGGTCCCTGTGTGTTGTAAAGTAGTCACCAATCCAAGCTCACTCCTGTGCTGGACTACAATCTCAATACAAATTTGTAAACTAAACGAGAGAATGTAGTCCATCACAGGAGTGAGCTTGGATTGGTGACTACTTTACAACACACAGGGACCATGGGGAACAAAAGTAGCCACCCTCCAGAAGGAAGGACAGTGTCAGCACCAATTCAGAGATGATTTGAGGATCTACAGCCGAGTGATACACACATAAGATACATTTTTGTTATTAGTTAAGGTAATTGAATGTATGTTTAAGATTTAAATCCCGGCTTCTTCACACCATGTCCGGATCAGATCTGGGTGAGTTTCTGCAAACGCGGTGCATTTAAAAAAAAAAATGTTACCTAAAAATGGGCTTTCAGGTGCATTCCAATGTGTGTGCATGCATTTTGGCACATTCCAGACCAGAAAAAAAATAGTGCATGCAGCATTTTGTTCCCCACACAGGAACAGACTGCACTGGTGTAAACAGAGCACAGACAACATTGTAGTCGTTCCGGTGCTATAGGAATACCTTGGGATGCATTTCTGGTGCGGATATGGTGTGAACAAGCCCCTAAGGGCCTATTCACACCAAATCCTCTCCAGACCAGATTGTTTCCAGACCCAAAATGCAGCCTAATATATTCCTATGCTATTGCTGGGCTCTATTCACACCAGCGCAGTATGTTCCTGACCAGACCAGAAAAATACTACATGTCTCATTTTGTCTGGTCTGGACTGCACTGGATCGCATACAAACGCACTGGAACACACCTAAAAGCCCATTTTAAGAAGAAAAAATGTTCCGAATTGCCGCAAAATCGCGGCGAAACCACAATGCACTGCATTCCAGATCTGGTCCGGACATGGTTTGAATGGGCCCTAAAATCTTGTTTTGCTGTGTTACAAACCAAGAGAAGAAAGGGCTCTGGCTGGGGACCTCACAAGGTAAGATGAACCCACAGGTTGACTTTCTAACTAGAAGTCAAAAACCACAAGAACAAATAAAACATAACTATGTAAAAACATCCTCACACAATGGTCAATATTTGCACTTCTCAAAACAAGTTGTATCAAATATCTGCAGCCTTCATCACATTCATGTAACCCTTGAAAGGAGAGAACCCATCCACACCTAAAGGCAGAAGCTTGACCTCAAGCACAAAGGATTGAGAAGTTCTTCAGACACAACCCAGGAGAAGACATCAGTCCCTTCCCTTTTTTAAACTTTTCCCAGGACAGCAGGAGAGGCATGCAAAGGAATGAATGAGCCACTTACAGGATGGTGGTCTGCGGGGACACAGTGGGTATGCTCTCCAGCATCAGATGCATGCATCGCACCGTGCTCCGGAAACACAGGCAGCGGCTGGGGCAGGAGCTGCTCTGCTGGGGGAGTCCGAGCAGTAGCCCCGCTGTAAGGACAAGCCACACGCAGGACGGAGATCCAGTTCTGTACAGGTCCATGCTGGCAGGGGGCACACTAAGGGAGGGTCAGGTAAGGGTGAGGACATATAGAAAGGAGAAGGGTAGGGGGGCAGCTGCTGCACGACCTCCCCTCGCCCACACAGGCTCCGGTCTGCTCGGGTTCCTGCGCTCTCCTCTCTCCGGGGCTCTCGCAAAGGATGTGACGCTTTGTGCTCCATAGGCACGGGGACGGGCGCCATCTGGTGGCCATGCGAGGTATCGCTATTGCCGAGCGCTGGCACCCACAGCTGTTGGCACCGACCATCGCCATCTAGGATTCCAGTCGGGTCGCTTTGTCTGAAATGCATTACACAATACCCTGCTGGGAACGCATGATTGCCCTATGGCCCCAGTCACATAGCGGGCATTAGCATCACACTTGCGCGCGTTGTGTATGTTTTCTACGCTGTTTTTTGCATGCTGGCTTGTGAGTGTGCTGGGAAACTTTTTGCTATTACTGTTTTCTAAGCTTGCCGCACAACCCCGTTGATTTCAGATGGGGTGAATGCACTGCAAATGCAGAAAAATCTGTGACATGCATTCCGCATCTGTGTTCCATTTAACGTGTGCAAGCATTTAACTGGTACTAGCACGGCACGTTTCGCGAGCACGAGAGCGCTCTTCTTCTTTGCGCATTTGACACGTGTTCACGAACTGCAGGTGTAAATAGGGCATAAGTATAGACTCACACCTAGTAGTATATTTTGGTTTTGTGCTGCCCTAAGCAAGACTAAACCCGCCCCCCCCCCCCAATCGAAATTTGGGGTCTCTGGTGGTGGGCTGTGCGGGGTCTCATGGGGGCTGTGCGGGGTCTAAGTTGGTCTGTATGGGGTCTGTGGTTGGCTTTGCGGGGTCTCGGGTGGGTTGTGCGAGGTCTCAGGTGGGCTGTGCGGGGTCTATGGTGGGCTGGGCAGGGTTTCTTTCCCTGCACACATGTGCTCTTGCCTGCAGTCCGAAGTGCCATCCGTACCAGCAAGACACAATGCAGCCCCCCAGCCTGCCTCTGGGACATCCCTCCATCAGATCGCATACCAGTCCCTAGCTGCCTGCTGCTTCTCCTCCAGCCAGATCACAACTCCATGCCTCCCCCCTTCCTCCAGCTCTCTCATTAGGTGACCATTCGTATGGACTTGCGGCTGTCTAAATTGCCTTATTAGGCAGCTGCTGCTACCTGATTGTGTGCGGCCTGGCTTGCCTCGGCCCATCGGGCTAGTGCCTGGTATGCCTTATGACCAGTCCGACCCTGTGCCTCACTGGTTTGGGGATGCTGCCCCCCTGGAAAGTGCTGTCCAATGCATCAAAAATGTGCAATGCGCTTGTGGTGGCATCGTGCATTTTTAATGTTTAACACATTTGTTACGCATGTCAACGTGCGTTTTGTTTGCGAATTTTTGAGTATGTTCACTCAACTGTACGGCTGCTGGTGTGCGTGTCCCAAGACTGTGGCGATGCACTTTAAAAAAAAAATAATACTTTATTGAAATGTCAAAAGTGACATTTCATTAAGTTCTATGGGCTCCCCGCAGTGGATTGAGGTTGTATCGTGTTTCACTGCGGTTCACTTAAAAAAAAGTACTGCATGCCATGCTTTTTTTAAACACACTCAACTGGTGTGAACTGAGCCTCTCCATGACAAGGCAAATTGCCTTGTCTTGTGTTCGGGCTGTGCTGGAATACACGGCCAGCGTAGCTTGAACACAGATAGTGTTAACCGGCTCTTAAGACTTTTTCAAAAGCGTCTTTACATGCGTTTTCAGCTGGTAGATTGTATTTGTGTGACAAACACGCAAAAAACGCAAATATGCTTGCAACGCAAATTTTTTGGTGATTCCATTGATGTCTATGGGGGGCAGATGTGCAGAAATTTGCAGAAAAGAAGCTCATACTTTTTACAGCGACAGGTGTTTTGCTGCGGGCAACATAACACTCAGGTGTGACCACAACCATAGAAAACAATGGCATTCCTTGTGCTTTGAGCCACAAAACACCCAGGTGTGAGCAGGGACTTAAGGGCACGCATGGACATTTTTGAGCGTTTCGCAGGCGTTCAGCTTCAAGCTGCATTCACACCTAAAGGTGCCCATATACCTTACAATTATCTGCAGATTTTCTGTGGTCAGATGGAAAAAGTGCAACAGATTGGCCTAGGTGGAGATTACTCCATTCACACTGTTAAGTGTAGATGGAGGAATCTGTTGCACCTTTTCCATCTGACCATAGAAAGTTTGCAGATAATTGTAAGGTGTATGGCCAGCTTTAAGGTGCCCACACACCTTGCAATAATCGCGGGAAATCCCGCAATCGTACAATTATCGCAAGGTGTGTGGAAGGCGTGCGACCTCTGCTACTGTAAGGTCGCACGACATTTATCTTAGGAACATGTTCGAAAACCCGCCGAGAATCGTACGATTGTCGGCGGGTGTGTGGCATGTACGTAAGATAAATGCTGCGCGGGCCGGTGTGCGCAAGCGATTATCGCAAGTACGATCTGCCTGTCCAAGATGGGCAGATCGTACGTTTTTTTAATTACCTTATAGCCATCGCAAGACTAAAGTCTTGCGATGGTTGTAAGGTTTGTGGCCAGCTTTAGAGTGAGCATTGTCAGGTGATTTAGACGTGTTTTTTGCACATGTGTACATGCATTTTTCAAGTTTTTTGTATGCATTATTTGCATTACAGGAGCAGGAGGATGGAGTGTTTTTGTCCTCATAGACTTTTACATGCTGGTACACCTGGAAAACACATGTAACCATGCTTTTCAAGGGTTTTTCAGGCACTCCCAATGTCCCAAAGTCTGCACATCCCAGCTCATTGACATCACTGGTCGCCAGGAGCTGGGCTGGACACTAGCCAGAGCAATGGGTGCAATACCTAAATATGGGAAGTCTGGTATCAGCTTAGGCTACATGCACACAGCCACAAGAAATGTATTGATCATATAGGCAGGGATGTCCCTATAATGAGAAAGCCTAAGGTATATGCCTCAGGAGGCTTCTCATTGGGTCACGTGGGGGTGGGGTGGCATTTAAGTCTTCCGCCCTTTTTTTGACCAGAGCATATCAGGTTGCAAAGAGCTGTTATCAACCTGTGATGCCCTGGCCAGTGTCCTGCCCAGCTCACTGATGTCACTGGTTGTCAGGAGCTGAATGGGACGCCGGCCAGGGTGTAACAGGTTACTAACAGCTCTTAGAAACCTAGGACGCTGTGGCTAGAAAAGGGGCAGAAGGCACAAATGCCACCGATGTGACCCAATGAGATGCCGCATGAGGCAACTACCTCAGACTGCTTCATCATATGCTTTATACGCTGCCTGCTTTTATGAACAATACATTTTTTATGGCTGTTATCAACTTGTGATGCCCTGGCCGCTGTCCCGCCCAGCTCAATGATGCCACTGGTTGTCAGGAGTTGAGTGGGACGCTGGCCAGGGTGTAACAGGTTCCAGGGTGTAACAGGTTACGAACAGCTCTTAGCAACCTGGGACGCTGTGGCTAGAAAAGGGGAAGAAGGCACAAATGCCACCCATGTGACCCAATGAGATGCCGTCTGAGGCAACTACCTCAGGCTGCCTCATGATATGCTTTAAACGCTGCCTGCTTTTATGATCGATACATTTTTTATGGCTGTGTGCATGTAGCCAAAGTTGATACCAAAGTTTACATATTTGGGGAATACATCCATAAGGGTGTTTTACTGTGCACAACCATTCATGTTTACGCACCAGCTTGGCTTCCTGGGGTGTAGAGAGAAGACACATTTTTACTTTGCATGCCCCAGGGCACCTGCGTGCATGATGCTACACACAGCATACGCTACTTCTGACCAGCTATATATTGTGTTTTCTTTGGACACAACAGCAAGTCCTATTGAGATGCCTTTGTATTACCTGAAAAGCTGACCTATTGTGAGTTCTCTGCCACAATATGATTTATAAGGTTGACTTTACATCTATGCATCGCAGAAACGCCTGGTGAAATTCTCATCACAGGTAATAATGGGTCGAACAGGGCTTAACTAGGCTTAAAAAGGTACTGCAGTTTGCGATTTCCATTGATTACATGAGTGCACTGCAGCAGAGAAATAATAATTTATGGCTCCTATCAGTGAAGACAAATAGTCTAAAGCAAGAATCAGTGCTGTTCCAGATCAGTCCACATTACTCCACTTATTAATGGGTGCTGGCCCATCTCATCTCCGGTGAAACAACAAAGCAAAGACGGCACACCAAATTCCATATGACTTCTTTATAACCATCCACTAGGCATATCCTGGAAACACCCAGGCAGACATTTGTAACACATTTCACACACCATGTGCTCAATCATAGAGTGTCTCAGGGATTATTCACAAAAGGGTGAAGAGTTTGGAAAAGGCAGGAGAAGTGAACAATCTAGGACAGTGGTCTCAAAGTACTGGCCCACGGGCCAGTTGCGGCCCGCGAGCCGGTACTATGTGGCCCGCAGCCCGCTCACAAGTCTGGTACGCGGTCAAGGACCGCGTACCAGACTTGCGGGAGCAGCTACACGGTCTGCATCTCTGTCGGATGCAGACCGCGTAGCTGCTTCTGTGCCGGCAGCCGGAGTGTTCGCTTAACGCCGGCCGAAAGGATTGATTAGATTAGTAATGTCTGCAGCAGACATTACTAATCGCCATTAGATAAACGGATCGGTGATCGTGGCGTCGCTCACAGCCTCCTCCCTGCAACAAGGTAAGCCGGAGAGGTGGCTGTGTATTTAATTTACGGGTGGGTAAGACTGGGAATTATATTGTTATATGTGGGGGGTGTTTGGGGAGGACTGGGAATTATATTGTGGACTGTGGAGTGTGTAGGGGTATTTTTTCATGTGTATGGGGGGTCTATTCATTTTTGTGCAGGGATAGGTTTTTGTTTTTTTTATGTGAAGGGGGGTGGGGGGGGAGTAGAAAGAGTATAAGTGTATTAGGCTCCATTCACACCTGTATCTCTAGGTGCAATTATGGATTCCTTCATCCATCAGGAA